GGAAGGAAGGAAGGAAGGAAGGAAGGAAGGAAGGAAGGAAGGAAGGAAGGAAGGAAGGAAGGAAGGATCACTTGGAAAGCCTGTAACATACTGAAACGTGGGTCATCTAGTTAGTGGCAAGGGAGGTAACTGAAGAACTGGCCGTGCAAGGAGAAATTTGGACTTCAGAGAACAAAACTGACAGCCAAAGTAGAAGCACTTCCAACTAAAGCAAACAGGATAAAACTCAAAAAGAAGGTACAGCTATAGAAGGTGTTAAGGGTGTTACACTACCAGTTACTGTATGAACAAAAAATAAATGTTATAAATGAAAAATTTTAATTTAATTACTGCATCTCCTACAGTAGAAGACATTAACCTACTCCAGTGGAGGCTATAGCAGGAAACCCGTGAGGAGAGGCTGAGGGCATTGTGGTTCTTCAGCCTTGAAAAGGCCAAGAGGGCAGGGAGATCTACTGCTATCTGGAAATACTTCACAAGAGGCCACAAAGAAGACAGAGACAGGTTTTTCTTAGATGTGCACAAGGACAGGAAAGAGGCAACCTGCAGAAGTCAGACCAAGAGAAATTCCAACCAGGGATTAGGAAAAATCATTTACCGTGAGGGTGGTGAAACATTGGCAGAGGATCCCTGGAAAGCTGTGACTCCCTCATCTCCAGATGACAAGGTCTGTGTGTCCTCTTCTGGAGAGTAATCACATTTGACAGATCACCCTAGATATTAATATCTACACTTGTAGCATTTAAATATATATATATATATTTACAAGTACAGTTGAAACTCTGTGTGTTTAAAAAAAAAAAGAAGAAAAGATGGATCAACACGGTATATTTCTTTTGTCATTGAAAAATCACATTTTTAAAATAAATGTACCATTTATGTACAATTGCATGAGAGGCATTTTAAAGCATCTTGAATTTTGTACATGGTGAAAACTGCATATATGTAAAATACATAGTCATGTATCAAGTTCATGAAAAAGTTCTTGTTTGTAGGAAGCTGATCAGATAATTTTAGAAATGTATAACAAGTGCTTCTGTTATTAAAGACGTGCATCTGTGAACACAATCTGCCAAAGAAAATGGAATATTCAGTGAATCTTTTCAGAAGAATGCTGACAAATAGCATTGAAATATTTAATAGAGATGTGAAGATACTAGTTTCCAGTCTTCAGATGATTACTTAGCTCAAAAGTTAAATAGGTGTGACTATGCCATCTCTCATTCTCTTTCTAATAAATTTCAAATCAAATATATGAGATCTAGTTGTGTTCACACAGAGACCTAACTTCAGAAATTATTGTGAACTACCTCACGTAATACCAGCCTGCTAGTGCCTGTCTCTGTGTCTGTATGTCTCATGTATCTTCGATTCAAGCATGTTTCTTAATTATCCTATACCTTTATCAGGTTACACTATGGTCTCCTGCAGCTACAAGAATTTTTAACTTAGCACTACAAACTATAGCTCTCAGTTTAATAATCACAGCATTCCTGCTGATTGGGCAAATTATATTGGAAATGAAAATCAAATACTTTTTGTTAGCTGGCCTCCTGATGGCAATGAAGAAATATAAGTCAATCAGACTTTGAATTACTCTAATTCAAGAGAAGTTAGGAAAGTATGAATGTTTCCAAGATCTGCTGCTCAGTCATGACTCTGCAGTCATAGCAGGGTTTGCAAATCCTTGCTCTGCATTTCACACACTATTCAAACTGACTTTATAGCCCAGTAAATGTGATTTTGCCATTATTAGTAAAAAGCAACAGGGTTTGTATTGAAATGACAGTGTAGGGACTCAGCAATACTCAGGGTTTTTCTGGGCCTAGATAGACTTTAACTTGGTTTAGCTGTGATAGCAATTGTCCAGCTGCGAGGCACTCTTGACTAGATTTGTTTTAGTTTAACTCTCGTTGAGGGTAGTAACAAATGGTTATTCATTGTGAACTGAACTGCCTACAATTCTAGAGCCAGCTGTGGGGAAGAGTGCAGACATATTTGACACAAATCAGCCATTTGATCATAGATGAAAGTGTTAAGAAAACATATAAAACTAAATCCAAGCAGACACTAGGCTGAGAAGAAAGACATCCCTCTCCCATAAGTGTCACACTAATCCTGATGATAACTCACCATAATACTCCCCCATTCCTTTTGAGGAATACCAATCTTAAGATCCAATGGAGAACTAGGGGAGTAAGCGCAACACCAGAGAAGAGGAAATTTTTATTGTAGCAATTTTAACTCTTTTTTTTAATGAGGTCTTTCTGTACTCATTAAGTAATTCTGACTGTTAGACTGTTTAAAATATTACTTGGACTAACAATAAATTCTTAGATTAATTTATATTCTTTTGCCAGTACATTTTTCCAAACAGAAGACTTTGAGTGTAATGGCAAATCATAACATCACCAACATCTTTAAGAACCTGGAAGCAGAAACAAGCACTACAAAGATCACTGAAACTCACAAGCACTTTTAGCCAGTTGCAGTCAATGCTGCTATGCTCTACTTTCTCATGGACAAGCTGAATAAAATCAATCCAGTGAATGAGCTCTCACTCAAGGTTACCATTCAGGAAGAGGTCAGTGTGTTTGTGTGCTGCTGTTTTAATCTAGTGCTACCACTGGTTTACCACTTTCCCTCTGGTCACAGGCTTTTACTGCTGTATTTCACAAGGCAGTGCAGTGAGCAAAACCTTCTGAGAACATGAGGTTGAGTGTAAAGAACCCAACTGCCTGTATAACACCCTCAACTGTCATTTACCTTGGTCTGTCTGAAAGGAGAAAGATTACTTTCACAGCCCAGTGAGCTCTCCCAGTGCAGCACAAACCCTGCACGTGCTCCCATTTACCACTCTGGGTATGTACACCTGTATGTGTGACCAAGCAGTCCACAGAGCAGTCCTTTGCCTTAAGGTTTTCAGGTCTCCTTTGCATGCCTTCCCAATTCAGCACAGTACAAGGGAATATGGGCAAGTTTGTGTAGTTCTGCTTGGGTCTCCTTGCTGTAGCTTGAGCTGTTCATGCTGCCAGCTGGCTCTGCCAGGCTCCTGGAAAACTCCCTCTTCAGGGAAGAAATCAGCCTGAAATGCTTCCTACAAACTGCATTTGCTCTGAACCAGTCCAGGCTGCTTTCTTGTTAAGGACAGAAAAGCATGGCAGCTTCACAAATATTATTGTGGCCGGGGGGCACCTCTGCAGCAACAGCCAATTTTCTCACTCTCTATTTTCCATCTTTATCTCAAACACTGGGAAATGCATCAACTTTCAAAGTAGCTCTTCATGTCCTGAGTGCTGCTGCCACATGTATATATTCCTCCTAGAACGAGCTGAATGGAAAGAGTGTTGTATAATGATCTCTCATTTAGCTTAAAGTGTCATCTTTTCCTTCACTGCATTTTGTCTGTGAGAAGTATGCTGAGTCTTGTGCAGCTGCGTTCGCACTCTTATTTGGCACAGATCTAAGTTCTGCACCCATACCAAGAGTTTCCTTCTTCCCTTTGAAAAGAGCAATAAATGGGTACAAAGCGGAGGAACCCAAAGCCTATATGGATGTGAACCAGGACTAGGATGAAAATATTAACCTGATAAAAGAGATTTCTTTGGCTTCCAGTCCATGTGTTCTGAGCTGGAAAATAAAATTCCAAATGGAGAAGAGAAAGGGAAGAGAAAAAAATTCAGATTCACATGCTGACCCTACTTGTTTTCAGAGCAAAGAATATATACTATACTGAAACATAAATCAGCCAGCCAGTGAATTCTTGCCCAGTATTCTCAAGGTTGCCTGGAAGTCAGCTACAAGCATCTGGCACGAGGACATGCACAGTGACTGACTTCAGCAAGGTGACAGAGACTGCTCTGGTCGAGGTTGGGGTGCTCAGAATGCTCACCACCACACATGGCAGGGCCCTGCTTCTGCTTGATACATTTCTCACTGAGCTGTGTAAGCAGGATACAGCTCTGCTAAGAAAAACACACTCTTAATAATTTAAAAATTAACTAGGGTTAAACCAATTGCCACTGTCCGGCATGCTAACCTTTAGAGCAGATCTAGCATTAAATCATGGATATCTATAGGGAGTTCCCTTGGATCATTTGATCAAATTATGCTCTTAAAAGTACACTTCAAAAATGTCATCCTGGTGTAGGAGGAAAAGAAAGAAAATAAGGCAATGAAATTAATGGAAATTTGGAGAAATGAAATGTTGTCTCATGTATTTTGACAATGTAGGCATCAGTAGGTTTGCCAGACAGATCAGCTTCAGATTTGACTTGAGCAAATTAAGCTAGTCTAAAGCACAAGCTACTTGCTAGTAATTGTCTTGGCTTTTTCCTCTTCAACCATTTTACAAGTTTATTTACATTATAACAGCACTGGCCATGCACCTCCCACATTTGAGGTCATTCCCCAGTCTTTGGGAAGGAAGCTGGCATCTGACAGGGTGGCCAATTTCTGGTCACAAAATGCTTTAAGTAACAAGGTGTACAGGCAGCAAGAGAAAAGGGAGAAAAGATGTGAAGTTAAAGAAATGAGAGACTGCTAAAAAAATCAGGTATAGACAGCAAGAGGAAAGAGCAGTGAAACACCTGAAGGGCTCTGACAGGGAAATGCCACTGCATCAATTGTTTAATCGCTTTGCAAACAGCACACTGTAGGCACCCTTCCTTTGCAGATGACTGCTGCTGCACCCCATTTCTTTCAACAATAAGACAGCAGGAAAAATTGGGCATAGCTGAGGGACCCATAATAATACAAAAAAAAGAGAGAAATGACACCCAAGGAAAAGTGATGGCAATGAAAAACAATTGCTCACCACCACCAAATCAATGCCCAGTCAGTCCTCAAGCCGCAGTCCCCAGCCAACTTCCACCTCTAGTCTATACAGAAAGCATGAAGCCACATAGCAGGGAATATCCCTTTGGTCACTTGGGGTCAACTGCCTCAGCTGTTGTTCTCTCAACTTTTTGTGCACCCTCAGCCTCATCACTGGTGGAACGGTGTGAGGAGCAGAAAAGGCCTTGACTCTGTATGAGCACTGCTCAGCAACAATTAAAATATCTCTGAATTATCAACACTGTTTCCAGCACAAATCCAGAACACAGCCCCATACCAGCTGCTATGAAGAAAATTAACCCAGAAAATCTACCCCAGTCAAAATTAACACAATCTTAAACTGAGTTTACTGGGCTGGAAGGTGCTTGGTGGTGTTGGGATTTTTACTTGTGAATGTGACACATTTGACTGAAGCCTAAGAAACATTTTTACAAATTGCCTTAAAACAGGCTTATACTTTAATACTGTCTACCCTCATACAACATGCTATGATTTGATTTTCCATTTTCATGATGATGTATTACAACACCAAGTAATTAAGACAATAGTGAATTCGGATTGGAGAACATAAACATCAGTCCTCTTGTTTGATTTTCCTAAGTCTCTTTCTGACCTAAGCACCTAAATATCCTCAGTCTGAACATAATCCATACCTTGACCATATGGTCCTCTATCAGAAAACAAAATAATTCTAAGCAATTAAGACACTTGCCCATATCCATTTCATCTGCTAGATCTTTGGAGGTGCAAACAAAACACTGGATGGGAAGATCTGCTAATGCTGATAGTGCTTTACATCACTTGATAATCTTTTTCCTGTGATAGTTATTACTGAATGGAAATCAAATGCATGCATGTTAGGACTAGTAACAGATGGCACTTCTGTTCTGTGAGGAAGAAAAAGGGGCAAAGGGGCAGCAAAGTTGAACCTCCCCCCTTCCCTGTCTTACCAGTATTCATTGTGTTGCCCTCCTGTTACAGTTGGCTGTGACTCTTTCTTGTTATAAAGAGATGTCAGAAGTTAGAGAGAGACAGACGATAACCTTAAATCCTTTACTGCATTTTACCAGGATTCTGAAAAATAAAAAAATAAAAAAATAAAAGCCAGCTGAGGGAGTTGGAAAATGTCAGTGAGGCATTACACAAAGAACTTGATACATTTGTTGACCTTTTTTCTTACTCCACCCTTCTCCTCTAAGATGGATTTAGTAGTAGTGAGTGCTTAGTGCTATAAGTGCTTTCTTAAAAATAATTTAGATGCTATTGGCTGTCTGCCTGCACTTGGAAAACGTAGCTGTTTCAATGAGCCCCTGCTGAAACGGAAGAAAAAGGGTTTATTGAAATGCCTCCAAAAATGCTCCAAAATTTCATTCTTTCCCTTGTCTGCTGAAACCCATCTTGTTCTTGCTTTTACAGTCTTTTGTTTTATTTTTTTAATTGTACCATCGTATTCAGGGTCTTTTCATTCTTCTCCGCTTTTTTACGAATGGCGAGTGTGGTATTAAGAGCTGAAGGCAGAGATGAGAGGAGAAGTGTTTTGAATTGACTAATTTGCAGGCAAGAAATAAAGCTCTTGTAAGGTGGTCCCAGGGGTATCTTTGCCATGAACACTATTTGAAATGACATGTAATCTGGTACATTTCAAAGGCAAAACATTTCCTATTCTAAAGTATCTTCCCGAGCCAGGGTTGGTTTACCTGTTTCCAGAGAATAATAAACTCTACCGAGGCCAAGGAATCTCCTTCTTTCCCCTCTCAAAATTCCTGTTTCTTTTCAAAGAGGCAATTGCAGCCAACAGTTTATTTCTGTCCTATCTTTTGCTGCTCTAATGGCTCAGTGCTCGCTACTAATACATAGCTGAATGCACCTCTGGATTAAATACCAAGTAACAGAACCCAGCACATCCCTGTACAACACAATAAATAATGGTGTGGAGCTCTCTTGTTTCTTGCAACAGTGGAAAATTTAGGTCTGGTTCTTAAAGATTTCTAAAATTGTAAGCATTTCACGATAAAACTTTGATCTGGCAATTTCTTAATAGAAACTGTTCCTCTTCTAGAGAAATCTGAGTTCAACTGACCTTGGAATGTTGCACATTCCCAGCACAATTCAGTGTTACTAGTCCTGTTGACATATTAAAAGGCTTATACACAAAAGTCCACATTTAATTTGTTAAGGCAGGAATTTCAGAAAAGCCTTATGTCTAGAATTTTGTCCATACTTTGGTGAAGGTCTAGCTGGTCTTTTAAACTGACACACTTAATCATTATCTGTGAATATGTTCATATACTCTAAGGAATGTTTCTATATGTGTATGATTTAAGCTTACGATATCCAGCATCTGTATAGTTTTAAAGGATTTTTAAATGTTTTAAATGAGGAAATTAGCCACAAATAAATCCCAAAGCTTTTGAGAAAATAAACACTTATAAATATTACAAATAATTTCTATTAATTTCACAGCTGTTCTGTTCTAGAGCTTTTAGTTACCGAAAAACAAACTCATGCTTTGTGAACATTCTGAACTTCCAAAAATCACTGTTTCAACATCTACTTGATTTTCTGTTTAACTTGCCGTGAAGAGAAATCAGGGTACAGTGTGTCTACAATAATGACCCTACATTTTTATATTTTAAAATTTATTTTATATTTATTTTTAAAATAAAAAACTTCAGTTACATTGATTTTAAAAATCCACATGCTTGTGCTCAAATGTACTGGCTCAAACACTACAGTGTATTTTTTCAATTGTGGACAATGTTCAATAAATTACATTACTTGAAGAGAGATACTGAAGGTTCCTGGATAGAACAAGCAAAAGAAATGGATTTGAAATGTCCAGAAAGGAGAATTTTCTAAAGTCATGAAAAGTGAAAAGCTCTCCTCAACCTAATATTTACGTGAGGCAGCAGAATGTCCAGGATGACTTGTGCTGTCAGTTTGCATTACCAGTCTCAGCCCCTGGAAGGGCAGATTGTGGACTGCGAGTGACCCTAACGTGTGTTGCATTTGCATCTCCACCAAACAGAAGTAGTAATAAAATATTATGCCCCATAGACAGGTCTTACACCTTAATTGTTGTTTTTCACAAGGTTCTGTCAACTGTAATTCTTAATTTATGGGAATTTAGCCCAAACATAACTTGGAACTAAATGTTCCAGTGTTCACAAAAGCTTCCAAAGAAGGCAGTGCTGTTCCCCAGTAGAGTTCATCTCAAGGACTGGTCCCCTTATCAATTCTGAACCATTATATCAGGCTGCTAAACTAGATGCTATTACTAACAATCGAGAGAAAACATAACATTTACCATGAAATAAAAGAATTTTTTACAAGTTAGTTAGGAATACCACTGGTCCTAGATATTCTACCACAACCAGGGAAATAAATCAGGCCTATCCATGACTGCTGAGTGCTGCACATGTTAACTCACTGACGGCATTACACCTCCAACACTCAGTGTCTGAGGAAAGTTTCAGTGCTTGGCTCAGGCAGCTGCCTGGAGAACACTCACTGCTTTCTGAAATCAGAGGTAGCTGCTTGCTCTTCTGTATTTGCACAATTCATCAAACTTGCACAAGTATACTGGAGCAACAGATTTGACCCTGAATTTTTGAAAATTTGCTAACCCTCCTCTGACCCAACTACTTCCTAATGCCAGCATACAGATTTCTGTTAAGCCCCTTTAATTGCCTGTGTGTAATGTCACCTTCACTGAGACATTAACTTAATTTCTCTTTTTTTTTAATATAAATTTCTAACACATCCACTTCAGTGTGCATTGAAATATTCATATAGGCAACATGTAGGGAAGCCATCAGCAGGAATCAATTGTTGCACTCTGGGATGCTTTTCAGATACAGGTGTATTTTGCTAATACAGAATACCTAGCCAGAAAGCAGCACAATATCCTAGCTCAGCTGATTTATTGAAACTATATTTTTGAGGGCTGTTTTTTTTCCCCCTTTCGTGACTCATGTGATGTGGTGCCATTTTAACACTGTGTGTAGAACACATGCTTGTTTGAACACTTCATTATTTGGCTCAAAGTAGTACAGTATATTGTTCTGTTTAGGGAACAAGTTTGAATTTACCATTGACTCAGGAGAACTTCACAATGTATCGCTGGGTCAAGGACAGGAAGCTGCAGCAGAAATAGCTATGGAAAAGGCATCAAAAGAAGGCCACTGGGTTATACTTCAAGTAAGTCAAAGCTCTTCATTACATCAGTGCTGCACTGCGGTGTTAAAAACTGAAGCGTTTCAAAATAACATGTGCCTAGATGAAAGAGTACTAAATAGTGATTTAAAACTTCCTTTGTCTTTGCCACAAGGGAAACACGTAACTTCATCTGTATATGTGAGCATCGCTGAATATCACACAAAATATGAATTGCAACTATCTTGCATGTAGGGAGTCAACTAACATATTTTCCCAAGCACATGATATCTGATTTACTAATTTATTATCCATTAAAAAAAATCCTTTAGTAAATAAATGTGTAGCAAAAAGAATTGTTACGCTGTATAATCAGATGAATAGATACAAACAGGGAAGATTGCTGTCATTATGCAGTGTATTGTGCTAAACAGATGCACACAATTTTTTTCAAATATTGTGCAATATCAAACTGCTTCCTTATGTCTGGGTTTTTCTTGTATCAATAAAATGTTTCAAATTTCAAATCAATAGCTCACTGGGAGGCCTATTTTTTCCTCCCTTCTCCCCCCTCTCCCTCCTCATCTCTGAATATTTATTTTGTAGTAAAGTGGTTGGACACATTAGAGAAATTACTGAAGAAAACCAGGGAAGGAAGTCAGCAGGGCGATTGGTTTTGAGTATGGGGAACCTGCTCCTTTCCCTAAAGCACATCTTATTCCAGAGTGGATTTAGGAAACCTCCCATCAAAATAACTGATAAGCCACTACCTGTAATACTGCCTGATTACCAAGCTGCACTGGATAAATTTGACCAGGCAAGTGAAACACCACAGAAATTAAACTTTCAAAATGTGAGTATTAAACTTCTCATTTTAAAGCCATTTAAAATAGTGAAGTTACTAAAAGCCTTTACAAGATAGGCAATAGTAAAGCAGAATTAATTGAATTTCTTAAAGATTTGTTCACATATCCTAGAGTGACCACACATCTATCACCAAAAAACAAACAAACAAAAAAAAACCAAACAAGCCAAAAAAACCAAACCAAACAAACCGACTTCTTTCAATTTTAAAGAAGCACATACAGTTTCTAGCTAAGTACCTATCTGTGTGCATAGGAAATGAAGAATTTGCAGTCACTACAGGTAATTACTGTAGTACAGAAAAAGAATTTATTTTGGTTTCATCTAGCTTAGTTTGGTTTATCTTGAGATGCACAACCATGTGGTTTTGTCTCGGGAATATCTTTTACATATTCTGAGCATGGGGTGCACTGGAATTAGGCCTTCAGCTGAGGTAAATCAGTGAGGTTCACTACACCAATTTATATTCCCAAGGGTCTGGTCCAAAATATTTGGATCATACATTAGAGGAAAGGATTGCTTGGATGCTAGGCTATCATATTTTCCTCTGTCCTTTCAAATTTTTGTTCTGGAAGGCTTTTAATGAAAACAGTTTTTCTTACTGCTTCTTAAAAGATACTTACAAACACAGGTGCATATAGGTAGCAGTTATAAGCTATGATCAAAGATATTGTCAAAGAAACCAACTATCTCTTTGGAACATAAATCTATATTAAAGAGCATCCACCTGAACGCTAAAAAACTCAGCAATTACCAAAAAAAAAAAAAAAAAAAAAAGCTTTTTCGGCACTATATTCTAAAAAACCTCTGTGAAAATTACAAAGGCTTTTCTTCTTTTTCTCTTGTATAGAACAACCTCTTCCAGCAATAAAAAAGGGAAAAACGGCCAGCCACCCGCGCGGCGGAGGAAATATCACCCAAAGTGCTGACAGAAGCACAAAGAAACCCGTGGCTGCAGCCACGGCCACAGCACGTTTGTCACCAGCTCCTGCCGGCGGCGGTGGCTCCGCCGGGCCCGCTGCGGCCCCCGGCCGGTCCCGGCCCCTGCACCCGCGCGGCGCCGCCTTCCCCGCGCCCGCCCAGGGGCGCTCGGGGTGCAGGGCCGGGCTGCACCTCCCGGGCCATGCCCCCAGGCCGCCGACTCTGCCGGGGAGGTCGTAACCTGCCCGCTGCCGTGCGGCAGCCCTGCCCCGCAGTAGCTGCCGGGGCCCGGGGCAGCCGCCCCTGCCCGTGCCCGTTCCTGTGGGCGGCGGGGCTGCCTGGGCCGGGCAGCGGCAGCGCGTTCCCGGGGCCAGAGCGCCCCCTGCCGGCGGCTGCCCCGCGGGCCGTGCCGAGGCGCGGCCGGGCTCGGGGGCCCGGCTGGGCCCGGCCGCGACGGGGGGAGGGCTTTTGACCCCGGGTAGCGCTGCGGGGTTGGGACGGCGGCCCCGGCCTCCAAGAGAGGGTTCCCTCTCGCAGAGGCTCGTGTTAACGCTGGAGTGAGGGCGTTCGGGACTCCCCACGCAGGGTCGAGCTCCCAATACCCGGGCGCCGGCGGGAGAGTCTGTAACTCGCCCCCCGACCCGGAGCCTCCCGGCCGGCCGCCTGTGTGAGCCCAGTTATTACCAGTGCGGGAGCCAGCGCGGCTGGAGCGGTGTCAGCAAAACTAAGGCGCATCCTGCGCTGTCTTCCGCAGTTTCCACCTGGGGACGGGAATGTGGCATGGGCAGGAACCAAAGGTCACAGACCTGAGGGTTTGAGGCGACTCGGCCAACGGCAACCCCGGACGAGCTGGGGTTCGTGCCTGGGGAAAAGCACACACGGGCTTGAACGGGCACGCTCTGTTAACTCGTTTAAATGGCCACAAGCACACAATCTTGAGGAATTACACCTTAAAGAGACTTAGCTGTTTACTAAACCAGCCCTAGTCCCCTGCAGCGGTGACCTCTGATCCCATAGCAATTCAAAGATTTCTTGTAGCGCCGTGCCCGCACTGCTGCGGCCAAGCGGCGATAATGACCAAGAGCCCGTGTGCGACAAACTATTTCAGCAAGAGGGAGGCGGAAAAGTCCTCTCCCACATCTGTGGGGCATTTGGTGATTATTTGTGGCAGTGGCCATGCCTGGCGGGTGGCAGGCTCCTCACGAACCCGGCATTTGTCAGGTGGCGATGGGAGCAGGTTGCAAACAAGCCCCTTCCCAGCCCGTGCGAGCCAAGCGCGGCCGAGACGGGTGGTTCACAGCCCCCATCCTCACCTGAGAACACATTTGCCATCTCGCCTCCTCCTCCTCCCCCGCAGCCCTGAGCACGGCAGGTGTAGAAAGCTCCCGGCGCCACAGGCAGGGGCTTCATACGCACGCTGTCCCTGTGAAAGAGGCAGGGCGAGGAGGGAGGCAGGAGCGCCACAGGCCCCGCACGGCCGCGGCCCCCGCCCGGGGCTGCCCCCCTCCCTCCCCCGCGCCCCGCTCACCTGCAGCGCCCCGCGGCCGCCGCTCCGGCCCCGCTGCCAGGAGCTCCCGCTGCGGGAGGAAGGAGAGCCATCCGAGGAGACAAGGGGAACAAAAGGACGAGATCAGAAAAAGGAATAAAAGAAGGAAATGTAGCGAACACTAAAAACAAGAGGAGGAATTTTCCCCGTGGGGAAGAGAGAGGGAAGCGCCACTTAAATGAGCTTTTTTTTTTTCCCCTACAGTTTCTGCAGAAATTCTGACAATGCACGTGCTCGTTTTCCCTTTCCCAGCCCACACAAACCTGTTGTTGTTTTACTTTCATTATTTCACTTTATTGTATTAGAAATGCTGAATCATAAAACAGGGGTTAGTGAAAATGGTATTTATCTTACAAAAATAAGCCCCATATTATTTTAAGGATCCCCACACTGCTGCTGTTATTATTATTATCATCATCATCATGCATCTTGGCAGGTTGAAAGGTATCTCAGAACAGTAAGAATTCAGCAGTAATTTAACATCCCACAGCAGTACTTTAAAAGCGTCAAATAGCATTTTGAATTTTAAGTCAGTACAAGTGTAAATAAATGGATACACTCCCACATGTCTGTTGTTTTTAAACTTGTGGAGATACTAAAATATTTGCCTAACAGCTTTGAGTTGTAGCAGAATTTCAGCTCACATATACACATGCGTGTGATATTGAATTAAACCATTTGTCATTCTTTTTCCATAAAAGACACAATTTGGCTCTCAGCAAACCATTTGAAATAGAAATTATGATGATGATACCACAGCTCCATTTTATTTTATGGTACTGTATTGATTTTCAAATAGACAATACATGTATTTTTGTAATGGTCTAAAAGAAGATATTTTGCCTTTTTATTTTACAGTCCTTATGTTATTACTTGCTTTCATTTCAATAAAGGGTGGCATTTTTCAGAGATGCTGCCATAAATTGCTTCATTTAATAAGTTGCTACACAGAATAATAATAATGTTACACCAGAGAGCAGCACTTCATAATTTGGAAGAAATAACATTTTTCTTTTAAGAATATTCCTATTTATTTTAAAATTAAAATTATCTTTCTGCTGTTTTCTTTCAGAAGGATAATATGATTATTAAAAAATTCCTCTTTTTTTCTTGCAAGCATCGGAACTTGGGTGTGACATAAAGGGGCTAATTAAAATGGGGAACAAATTAGATTAATTTCCACGGATATAATAGTGATATAAAAGTCTTGTTCTCAACAATGACTCCATAATAGAACTATTTCATTTATGCCTAAGCAGGTTCCTCATTCTGTCTAGTGAGGATTGCCAGCACTGTCTTAGTGACAAGGTTTTTATTATTTTTTGACAGGTTGATAGGAAGTCGGTGCTTGCTTCAGGGTTTGCAGTCTCTTCAAACCTGGATTATGAAGGCTACCATAAAAATATGGGTAAAATGCTACCTCCCCACAGTGCCATATGTTATGGCCTGCACCCCAATGTGGAGATTGCTTTTGTAATAACTGCAGACAACATGCTCCATATGCTATTAGAGATGCAATTCAAATATTCAGTCACTAAAGAGTGACTGGGGAAGGAGTCTCCTAAGCTGCGGAAGACAAGGTCAGTCAAAACATAGAGCAGGCTTCAAATTTTCACAAGACAGTTTTTGTCTATGTCTTTGGGTTTATGTCTGGGGTTTTTTTCCTCCCAGGGACAACAATTTCATTAGACATTGTCATACCTGGTTTTTTTTGCAGGCATTCAATCTGAAATTTTCAACGAGGGATCTCTAGTATATGTGAGACATACATTATTTTGCACCACAGAGAAAAAAATATCTTG